TTACTAGTGCCCAACTGGGGTGGGATGCGGGGAGGGGGCGGGCTGGGGGAAATTCATTGGGGTGGCTGGACGGGGAGATCTTGGGGTGTCCTGAACCCTCCATGTGCGGGGAGCGTCAGGGCTCCTGCCTGCAGGAGCGAGCCGGGAGGTGACGGGAAACTGAGGCAGGAGCTGGCGATGGGACGTGCCCCTGGGGCTGGCGGTGAGGAGCTGGGGGGGCTCCGGGGGCTCCATCCAGTCCCGCAGCTCCTGCTGCCGTTCCCGGGCCGCGTTTGGGATCTCTCCGATGTCCCTGTTAACCCAGAGGTCTGGGAAACATCCCCACACCGCCCAGGGCTTTTGCATTTGGAGCCCAGTGTGTAAAACTGGGATCCTGGGGTGTCCGTGGAGCTCTGCGGGACCTCCCTGTCCCTCCCAGGCAACCGGACTGGTCTGCAACATCAATCCACCAACCTGCTGATTTTCCTGAAAAGTTGGGAATTGCCTCTATTTGTAAGAAAAAAAAAAAAAAAAAAAAAAAAAGTAGTTTTTCCCCTGGCTCCTGCATTCCCGGGTTTCCTCGGGGATGGTGGGATTCCTCTGCAGCTCGGGGCTTTGCTTGTGGGGAGCTGCTGCTCCCCAAATAGCTGTGCCACCTCGGTGTAGGTGCAGGGATGGTTACTCCTGCCGCGGGCTGGAAGCTGGAAAACCTGGGACAGAGGCGGTGGGAAAGGCCCCAAAGAGCCGGGCGGCTGGGAAATCCCCTCCGGCATTTGTCCGGGCATGAGCTGAAGCCTGAAATCGGTGTTTGGAGCAGGCTGGGGGGAGGATGGCGGCGGTGGGGGTGCCACTGACCTCTAGCAGGTACCACGGCAATTCCCCCCGTGGGCTGGGACCTTCACACCCGCCGTGAAAGCGCCCCGGTGGTTCCTGCTGTGGCGGGGGGGTTGCGCCGCGGCAGGGTGTCCGCTCAGCGGCAGCTCTGCTCTTCGCCGTGGGACCTCTGCAGGTTTTCTGGACGAGGCAGGGAGCTGGGATTTGGGGATCCCACCGTCCTCCTTGCTGGGGTGCGGTGACCGCTGGGTTTGCTTCCCAGGAGCGGGTCTGGCTGGGGGGTTGCGGTGGGGGCAGCTCATGCCAAGGGGGTTGCACTCACCCGTTGGCTCCCTGCGTCAGCAGGGCTGAGGCCCCCCCCGTGCTGCTCTCGCCCCCCAGCAATGCCCAGGGACAGCCTGGGTTACGAGGGGCAAACCCGCGATGGTGTTTGTTTAACCTCGCCTTATCAGGAACGATTTTCCAACACCTGACTAAGCACTGGCACCAGTGCGGGGGCTCGGCACACCCGTCCTCCCGCTCCCGGGGGATTGACTCCTTCCCCCAGTGTCTCCATCGAGACCCTCTGCCCACCCTGTGCCAGCTGGAGCAGGTTAGGTGGCTGGTGTGGGTCAGAGCTTCGCCCCCGTGCCTCAGTTTCCCCATCAGCAGAAGCAGGAGGTGATACCCTACGCAGTGGCGGTGCAGCGAGGGTTAACCGCAGCGCCCCTGAGCATTGCTTAATGCAGCAAAACCTAGCGAGACTCTGCTTAGTGATGATTAAAATGCACCTTCGGAGGTCACCCTGAGCTGTCACTAAAAAGCGCTGGGCTGGGCTGGAAGTCGCGTCGTGGAGTTGCTGTCCCCTCCCAGGGAGCCTCCAGGAGCCCCAAAGCTCTTTCTCCTCAAACCGTGAGTCAGTGCGGAGCCAGCTCAGCACCCAGAGCAGCGATGGCATGAGCCTGATCCTGCTGTCACCCTGTCTCACTTCCGTGAGACTCAGGGCAGGAGCATCCCGCGCGCTCTGAGCCGTCGGAGCGTGTGGATGTGGCACTCCTGCCTTTGCCACGGCGCCTGCAGCCCGGCGCTGGCGAGAGCCCGCGGTGTGCCGTGACCCGATGTGGGGAGTGCGTGGCCACGCTACCGGCCGCTGCGTGGTCCCCTTGTGCCATCCCACACCCCTTCCCCGCTCGGGAGAGGGTGCCAGGCTGCACCCGCTGCCTCGGTGGTGATTTGGGGGCAGCCAGGAGAAGGCACCCGCCATCACCTGGGCTGTGCCCAGCTCCAGCTCGCCGGTATCTCTCCCAGTAAAGCCCAGTGGCAGCCCTGGGGCTCATCCCTTCACTGGGCACCACGGAAAATCCCCTGGGAGAAGCAGCTCTCTGCTCTGTTGCTGCATGGGTCGAGAGTGGGACGTGCCGTCCTGCTGGTTGCCTGTGTCTGGGCACCTTCCTCCTGCTGCTGCCACCACCCCCTGTGACACGTCCCATCTCCCACAGGTGAATCCAGCAGCAGGACCCTCGCCACAGCCTCTCCTATGTGGTTGTGGGAGGCCAGGAGCGTGGTGCTGGGGATGCTGCTGGGTGCTGAGCATGGGGAGAGAGCAGGTTTGGGGGCAGAGCTGCCCCTTGAGCTTCCCGGTCATTAGTGGGCCGGAAGGTGCGTGTCCGGCTGTGCCGCTGGGTTTGGAAAAGGCCAATGAGCACTATGTTTGCTTTTCTCTGCATTGATGCTGTGGGTTTCACAGCATCACAGAATGATCTCTGTTGGAAAAGCCCTTGCAGCTCCTCCAGCCCAACCATGACCCTCCCCCTGACCGTTCCCAACTCCCCCAGATCCCTCAGCGCTGGCTCAGCCCGACTCTTCAACCCCCCCCAGGGATGGGGACTCCCCCCTGCCCTGGGCAGCCCATTCCAACGCCCAACAGCCCCTTCTGCACAGGAATCCTTCCTCAGAGCCAGCCTGACCCTGCCCTGGGCAGCTTGAGGCCATTCCCTCGGGGCCTGGCGCTGGCTCCTTGGCTCCAGAGACTCATCCCCCCTCTCTGCCCCCTCCTGGCAGGGAGTTGCAGAGGGCCAGGAGGTCTCCCCTCAGCCTCCTCTTCTCCAGACTGAACCCCCCAGTTCCCCCAGCCACTCCCCAGCAGACCTGTGCTCCAGACCCTTTTTTCCTGCGTTTCCAGCGCCTCCCCCAGCTGCGATGTGGGGAAGGGAGGAAGGGAGTCACTGGGAACTGCCCCCAGTGCAGCTCCTGCTTCGACCAGTTCACCCAGTAGTGGGTGCTGTGGGAGCAAGCCTACCTGCTTCCAGCCATGATGGGTGTGCGGGCAGCACCCTGCTCTCCCTGCTGGGGATCAGCTGTTTATTTTGGGGGCCGGGCACGCCTTGTGGCTTCGGCTGGGCTGGTGCTGCCTTCACCTGCAGCCACTGGGCCAGGGTGCCCGGTTCCCTCCATGTCCCCAGCAGTGCAAGTGGGGGTCACTGTTGCCATCCCTGTGTGTCCCTCCCCACACCCGGGGCAAAGCGGGGTGCAGCGCCGGCAGAGGTGTCCCTCCGGCGGGTGCTTTGCCGTGTCCCACCCCTCCAGTTCTCTGTGGCACCCCTGTTCCCTGCTGGGTTTGCACAGGGGCCATGGGATGGAGCCAGGGTGGTCCTGGGCATCCCGGGGGGGCTCAGACCCTGCTCACTCCCTGGGCGGGCAGATCCAGACCCCGGGCTCGCATCCTGCCTGCACGGTTGGTGCTGGGCCCCTGTTCAGAAATCCCGGTGGAGATGACTGAGGGGACAGGTCCCAGCCTCACAGTGCCACCCCAGCTCCTGCTGGCGGAGGGATGGGTGTGGGGGGGGTTTCTACAGGGAATGGGCAGAGAAGGATGGTGCCCCCAAACCAGAGCGGGGTCCTGAGCCTCCCCCCTGCAGTGGGTGCCACCACCGGCACCTGTACCTGGAGCGTGGGTTGGAGGAAGCGCTGCTGCAGGCGTTCGTTTGCTGAACACCCTTTCTGCTTCCACCGCCACGTCTCACTCCTGGTTTTACACACCCCCCCCCCGTATTTGGGGGGGACCATGCACTAGTCCCCCACCCCCTCACCTCCTTTTCAGGGCTGGGAGCACTTGAACCTTTTCCCGCCCTCTCTTCTCCCAGCCCCAAACCAGCTTCTGGTTTCTCTGTAGGTGTTCTGGAGGGATTATTTTAGCTCTTGGGGCTGGATGCTGCGTGTGTGCCCCCCCCCCCCTCCTGTCT